TTCACGGCGATAAAACTAACACCATCTACAATTAAAACCAAAAATCCATCACTATTATGGTAGCACTTAGATTTCATAAGATTGAGACTGCTAGACTTTACCTCTAATAGCGAAAGAGGATATTTATATGAGAAACTCAGTTTGTGGTCTTGATTAGTCTTTTTATTCCATTTTCTTCTGATATAATTATCCGGACATCCTCTTTTTGAGCACCCTCCATTTCTTGACAGACCCGTAATGTGCAAGGCATGCACATCAACACTATCGCCCCCGATATCTCTAGTGGAATTCTCTTGAGTTTGAATGTCTGATTTTTCTGACAATATAGCAACTACTTCTTTTCATGGTCAAATACTTCAAATGAACTCATAAAGGTAGCACAAATAATAGGAACTACAAAAAAATCAAACGAACGATTTAAACGTACTCGGACTACTATTTTCATAATCATAGAACAAAACTGCACGACGACCAAAACACCAGTAATATAGTCTTTACCACTCAAAGAATATGCCTTGCTTATCTTGTTTTTCCATTTGTACCCGGTTATCATGATCACCATAAAAACAAACAACACATTAACAATTGCGAGCGCAATATTGAGATTAGTTAATCTTGCTTTGCTGACAATTTGACAGATTATCGCCACTCCAACCTCCAAAATCTAATTCACCAAAAGAGCCACGCCAAATAGACCTTTCTACAAACACTATAATTAAGTTAGAATAATATATAGCTAAAACATACCATAAAATAAATTTAGTTTAATACTAAACAAGCATACCTCTTTATACAATGTTATGACCTTGTCTAAAAACTATAGAAATTAAATAAATAATATTATTTAATATATTGAATAAAATGAAAGGAAGCAAGAACTCAAAATTAACCTTTTTATATGTTGTTCTCATCCAAGCTACACACTGCAAAATATTTAATAGTTAAAATCCCTATAAAACATAAATTTCAATCTTGCTTTTAAGTCAAAGTTTACCTTTTCAAAAAATCTTTCAATCTCATTGTAATAGTAGTTGACCACTGCTAATCCAACGACAGTGAACAATAAAACAAATATGAGTAACATTGAAATATCTATCCTGTCATGCATTGATTCATGGAAGCATTAAAGAAAAAATTAAGGTCAATGCCTAAAGAAAATAAAGAGTGAAGCAAATAGACGGCTTGAAATCATATTAAACATTTCTTTGACTTCCATGTAGTTTTTTGAATATTAATACTTTCATTGGCATATAAAAAGTCGTTGGACCCAGACTGAGCTCTGTGTGGGCAAATGAATGTAAGTCATGAGAATAACCACCATAATGGTGCATATGTAAACAATTTACACTAATGAGCTACTATGACTCGGAGCAAGACGTGGAGAAAAGGAGTATAATGATAAAGAGGTAAAAATAGGGCACACTCGCATTGGGTTATATCCAAATCAGCCGATCGATCCCATCCAATTGAATTCACTTTTATATAGTGTAAAATAGAGTGTATTCATTGCTTTGGCATTATTTGCGTGTGTCTTCTTTTCATCAATAGTCCATGTTTTCTTATCACTAGTGGGCTTAATGTATCCTTCTTCAATAATATCCTATAGTGCATCATCTAGAGACATGATGTATATTTTCATTCTAGCTTTCCAATATGTATAGTTATTACCATTGAAGAATGGTGGTCTAGAAATGAATTTTCCTTCAACAATGTTTCCTCTTAGAATTGTCATGATCTTTTTACTTTAAATGTTGTTGTACACTTTGCTTAGAGCCTTTGTTTTGATACCAATTTTTGGATCGATGTGCTGACTACTACGCCAAAACCAACTGATTGTGAGTAAGGCGCAATGTCTATCTTTTCAATCATAGATAGTAGCGCACATGGGTCGGGCTGATTTAGCCTTCCCCTCAAGTCTCAAGGAGATTTGTTGCACCTGTACCCAGGCCAACAAAGTCCAACCTAGGACTTGTTGAGCTGTTAAAACTTCTTTTTTGTCTTCAGTGTTGGGTTTTGGGAAGAATTCAACCGGAATGGTTCTGAAGAGATCATTATAGAGGTCTAACTCTAGGGAATCTGCATTGAAGTTTTCAATCTGAGGTATCCTCAAAGTCGTCAATATGAGATTTGACTTAGCTAAGTAAGTTGTCATCCTATTATTCTTTGCTTCATAGATTCCCTTGATCTGTTTGACTGTCAGCAAGGAATTACTATATGGCTTCTATTGCTCAGCCCCACGATTCAGTGCTAGCTTTAGTCCTCTTTGTTATTTGAGATCTTAAAACCAAATCACAAAGTATACACCATTTTTACATGGTCACGGTAATCAGGATGAGGCCCCCTACTCTCACTACTTGGTGATTGGAGGAATTCCTCGTGGGGATTACTCCCACCCGGTGTATTTCAACAATAAAATCTTCTGTCCCTTTACGAAAGGTCTCGAAAGCTTCACTGAGGTGCGACATATGACATGAGGCATGCTGGACTTTTACCAACATAGCATCTATGTAAATCTTATTTATTTTTCTAATAAAATCCTTGAAGATTCAACTGACCAAACGTTGATATGTAGTTCAAGCGTTTTTAAACCAAATGACAGTACCTTACAACAATAGTAGTAAAGACCTTGTTATGTTACAAAATAGGTCTTCTCTTGGCTACCGGAATGCATCCTTAAAACTTTACGACTAGAATCCAACTATAGTATCTACTAGAAGATTGTTTCTATGCAAGGGAAGCAGTCTTTTGGGCTGGCCTTGTTAAGATCGGTAAAGTCGATGCATAATCTCCACTTCCAATTTTGCTTCTTGACCAGCATCACGTTAGTTAGTTATTCAAGGTATTGTATCTCTCTTATAGACTCGGCATGAAGAAACTTATGTACTTCCTCATTAATGGCACTGGCCCTTTCTGGGACAATTACCATTCTCTTCTATCTAACAGGTTTGCAACATGGATCAACATTTAACTTATGTACAATGACCCCTAGGTCGATGCTAGGTATATCATCGTGGCTCTAAGCGAAGACATCAACATCATATCGTAAAAATCTTTCCAATATTTTTCTAGTCTCTAGGGGAAGCCTGATCCCAGATAGATCACTTGCTCTAGGCTCTCTCCCAAATGTATTAGAATTAGTTTCTCCACTAGGTGAACTCTTCGATCTTCATCCCGCTCTCGCAGATAAAAGCTTTCCACTTGTAGTGCTTCTTGTGGATGGATTCTTATCCCATGTAGAAGCAACATAACATCCCCTTACCATGGCTTGATCCCCTCGGAGCTCCCCTATGCCATGATCATTTATCGATGTTGAGCAACTATTCTTTGTAGCAGTTTAGTCTATCCTACCACGTAACGTTTCTTGCAAAAAAAGTGACTATCCTCGATCCGAAACACAGCATTTAAGGCATGTTTTGTTCGGTTACAAACTAAAAATGTGATTAGGTAATCGATGCTTATTTAATGAGTAAATAATGGGTGTAATCATTACACCATATTTATATTTTTGACATCGTATAATTATCCAATAAAAAAATTAACAAAATAGATAAAATAGAACCCATTTTCTATCATTAATGTGATTATGTATTACATGACCGAGTGGTTTTGAGTTTTATTAAGATCTATTTGTTGACTTATTTACTTATTAGAAGAAGATGGTTATATTACTTGACACTGTTGACATAGTGTAACGGTTATACCCAAATTTTTTTTCTATTTTAATTCATACAAATTGTGTTAATAAGAGCACCTATTTGATCCTATCATTGTATAACAAGTTTGGATCAAGGTTGAGATAATATATATAGTATATGATATTAAATTAAAAATGACAAAAAAATATTGAGGGTAAAAATTGGTATGATGTGTAACTTTTATATAAAAGTGTGAGTCTAAGTTTGCAACGATAATATAAAGTTATTATATTTTTAATACTTAATTTGTTAAAATAATACCACCTACCACATAGCATTTATTACTACCTAATATTATGTTTTAAATGACAATAGTTAATTGGATCGGAGAAATTAATAACGGGTCGTTATAACCCAATCTAAACTTAATATTACATCATCATTATACTAAATTAATCCAATCTAATCTCTTTATACATAAACTAAACATAACTTTAAGGTCTCACCATATGGAATTGAGATAATTATTTTTTTAGATTAAGGTAAGGGATGTTAGGACCAAGGATACATACTTAGACTAATTCGTTCTCTGGTTCAGTTAAAAGTAGAACATCTACGCAGAGACTAATGTATTCATGAACAATAAATTTCTCAGATCCCAAAAAATTATCAAAATTCAAACTCAAAGTTTAAATTTAACTCGTCCCTATTACCATTTGAGTAGCCTATGTAATTGAGACAAACTTTAACCACCGAATAATATAAGCAACCATTCTCTGTTTCTGTCGGTCCAAAAAAAAAAAAAATGTTTGGACACAACCACGTTGGCAGCAGTCTGCCCAATCAGATATTTGGACCAGTGTTTCTTTCTGCATGAAAGGGAGAACTGGAAAAACTAGTTCCTAATTATAGCAATACGTCTTCGTGTATTTGCAAAAGAAAATGCTATTTCGACCAGATCTGAGACAACTAGTCCAAAAATTGTATTGAATCAAGTCTATGATTAAATCCTGAAATTAGATCCCTATAACATTGCCTGAAAAATGAAAAGTCTACTCAATAAATAGATGGCAAGGCTCGGCCAGAAGCAACTGAACAACATATGAAAGACATCTCAAGCCCAGCAGTCTCACAAAGCAAGAGGTCACACAGCAAATTATAACAGAAGTACATAATTCCTCTGAGTGTTACAAATGGTTATGAGTTGTCATTACCCAGTGTATGCTTTTTTTCAACTTCACTACTCCAAATTCAAAGTAGGTTATGTACACAAAACGCGCACGTGAACTGTATGTAATCAAGAACTCAAAGTACCCTCAACCGTGTTCATCAAAGGTATACTCCAATTGGACAAAAAAAAACATATCATACTATATCCCCATTGTTTTGTGTGCTGTGCACACTCCCCTCTCCAGTTCCATCTCCGTCTCCTGAGCCGAGAAAGCTTTTGCCACCAGGCCTAATTTTCAAACTTCCCCCAACTTGATTTGCAAAAACCGCAGTTTGAATTGCTTCTATGTACAACACCTTCACCAAGTTCCTGAACCGCCGTCTGAATGTTGGCATCCAAGACATAAAACAAACAATGCCCTGCAATCTTTTACCATGAAAAAAATATGATTCAATGCTAAGAAATCGACGTTTAAATGCATAACATCTAGCAAATAATTTAGTGAGTTCACACCAGAGATTAATGAGTTAACAAGCTTAGGCTTAGTTCTACTGAACTCCTGACAGACACAGGGTTCAGTTGCAATTGGTCTAGGCCAACATACCACTACTAGTAGTCCTTCTTCCCTATGCTATGACTTATGGTGTTAGAATATAAGCCATGCATGCACATAGCCTCAATTCCCATACTTTAAATTTGTGCATTGTAGCAAGTGAATGAATTTAAGAGTCTAATCCGTAGTAGCCTGCCAATAGGCCTTGCGAGGTGAGGAGGTGTTGCATCCCACATCAACTCAGGAGGGGGGTTGATTGGTTATTTATGTGGTGTGTTCACCCTTAGGCCTTTTCTAGAACAAAACCGTGAGGGTGTATGGGCACCTAAAGTGGATAATATCTTGACAGTTGAGGCGGGTCGTTACATAATCAGTTATTATTTTTGTGCTTCTTAGTAGCTGTGGCAGCTAATGCTACGGTGTCTGAATTTACGAACTTACCTCCTAATTATGGCCTGCAACTGTGCTCTTCTGACATTGTCATTGGAAGGAAAACCAGTGTCATCCCACTCCTCTGGCCTCTCATTCTTGCATCCCATAATCAGCTTTCTCAGGCAAATTTCTTCACTTTCTTCTAACTGGAGTCCTTTTATTTGTTCCTTGATAATCAATAGTGGCCCAACAAACCACTCAAAAACTTTATCCTTTGGCCAATTGGTCATTGTTAACTCCACCTCATCGGCTAGAAAGTCCAATAACAAAAGCATGATCAAAAACTAAAATCTAAAATACACAAACAAAAACGAAGGTAGATAAAATGAGACATACAGATCACTAATCCGGAAGAGTCAGACTTTGCTGATTCAAGAAGACATTGTAAAATTGACCAAGCAGGTAATTTGATACTCAACTTCTTACAGTTCCCTTTCACCAGGCATTCCTCAATGTCTTTGATATCTATCATACCATCACGAAAGAGTATCCTTCCATTCACCTCGCAGGACTTAAACAGCCAATCCCATACCTGTCACGTTCTAACGCTGAACTTCTGCATTTCCAAAAAACAGAAACTGATGTGAAGTTGAGCATTGCATGTTACTCACCTCCATAGGTGTAGATTGTTGGATGGCCCACTTCAATGTCCTTGATCGTTCTGAAACCAGCTTTGAATTATGTGAGGCTTCTCTCTCGTTCTTCTGACCAGTTACCTCTTCATCAATTGACTTTCCTCTTTGAAGGCCATCAGAATGAATCAAGCTTCTGCGGTATCTTGGCCTAGCTGTCAGAAGGATTTTTTAGAAAATCATCGAATATGTCAAAAGGGTCTAATATCAAAAAGCAAAAATAAATAAGTCTGTATCCTTACATGATGTTCAGATATGTGAAGCAAAAAATTTATAATCATAAATAGTACCTTGGAAAGCATGATCCCTCTCTGAAGTAAAGTAAATCATTTGTATATTCATCAAAGAGTGACACAACAGCGACAGTATATGCGAGGCCCATCTGGAGTGAGTTTTCCTGGGAATAATGAATTTGAGTTAAGCTAAAAACTCCAAACATATGACAAGAACATATTAACTGTCAAAAGTTTTATCTTATATTCAGAAAGTACTCCATTAGTAAAGCAACCGAAAAACTCTAGTGGACCTGGTGAACAACTACTCCGCTGTAAAGCCCAAGAAAGAAGCTGGAGATGAAAGAACCAATCACGCCTCCTACTACTGCTAAAGGCCATAAGACAATTGCCAGGCCAGCAAATGGGACACATACTGTCTCCAAAAATGGCCCTTCTCTTCCAATCAAGTCTTCTAATAACCTCTTCCATCCTCTGAAGAGCATGTATGGACTTTTCCCAATAGCAACAGCTGTAATTAGAGGCACATCTACTAGTAGGGCAAGCAGGGCTGCCAAAAAGCAGCTTGGCAGAATTGATAAACTAATAGAGACAACATGAAATGAAAGTTTAGTTTTCTATCTATTTTTTGGTCTTTATTATGAAGATCCAAAACGAGAATCCCTCACCTGATGTCTATAGGTTTCTCATCTGCTGGTACTTCCTCACTCAGTTCGTCCATGTAGGAGAAATACGAGTGGAAGCAAAAATCTGTGAAATCCCGCACCACAGTGCAGCTTCCCTCAATTGTGGAGTGACAACCATCCTGACAATAGTGACAGATGTTAGCCACCAGCATAGAGGTGCAAGGCCCAAATTATTTGGGGGTAGGCTTGGTGAATGGCATAAACTTGGAAAGCACTTCTTTCTGGTACTAACAAACTGTTTACTTTTGATGCACATCCACCAAAGTGTAGGGACAATGCCATATATAGAGTGTTAAAACTGGCAAGCAGGTAGGAACGATGAGATTCAACCAGTAGTTCAGAATATATGTTATAAAAGCAAGTACAAATAGAGTTTTCCTACTTTTTTTTCCGCTGGGCAAAGTGACATGGAGTGAAGAAAAACAAAAAATCTTAAAGATAACATGGCACGTGTTGTCAGCTAATCACCCAAGGTTTGTCCACATAAGTCGTGATAAGTTCACATATAAATGAAACTATTGGAACAACTTGCAAGCATAAAAATGCGTAAAAAATAATAAATGGCAGGTTATTCGATGCAAATAATGAAGTATTGAAAAAATCTGCACATGATTCAGCCTTCTTGAACAGAACATATATACCAGACTACAATTTCATCTCAAAAAATAAAAAAAAAAGAATAAAATATGAAAGGAAAAAGGAATTATTATAAGGCCAGGAACCATTGCAGCAATAGATGATCAAAAACGGAAATAATTGTTTTCAAGTTGGGGGGAAAATTTCCACTGACAATAAGAACAGGACATCAGGAACCTCTACAACTCAGCTGTGAAAACGATATCCTTTGTGTCACAAAGCCTTAAACATGAATATCAGACAGAGAACTACTTTAAGAGCGAAACAGAGAGGAGTTCGAGGAGAGACTCACAACAAAACAGTGGAAAAGCTTGTCAGTGACATTCTCTCCAACAGCCTCAAAAGTTGCAAGCAAGGGAGCAAAGAATCCATACCCTATCCCACCCAAGAGGCTTCCTGTGACTGTCATGATTGGCCAAAGGTCCAGAGGCACCGGCAGCGACACTAATAGCAGAATCTTCAGAACCCATCCAAGCCTTTTGGTTCTGGAAATTGAGGCCAAAGGTGTCATACAGAAGCAGAGAACAAACTTAATACCAAGTCAATATACATATATTAGTAATTCAGAGCAAGGGAAGCATACTTTGCCACAGAGTAGTAAGTCCACATAAAATGAGCAGGCCAGAGCCCAATTACCACTGTTGTGTTTCCAATCACAATAATGCTCACTACAACTGGACCAATAACTAATCCTGCCCAATGAATTAGACATCATTACCAACATATCAGATTCCATCATCTTTCACCATATAGATGCTTACATAAATAATGTTCTCTACTGACCCATCAATTCTTCTACGCATATGTGTTTATTTGTGGGTGCATTCAAACTAAGTTCACATGCAAGTCAAGAACACACAACCATATGCACAAAAACAAGAGAAATTGCAACACGCCCAATTTTATCAGCCCTGGTTAGGTCTGTACGGATTAGTGAAAATTCAAAACTCACACTTATCAAGAACTTCACTGAAGAACTTTTCTAAGTAGGATGAAGATGGGTTATCAAAATCCACTCCTTAGGATCACACATACTCGTGTGAGATCTGTCCCAGTTGATATGAGATTTTGAAGGATAGCCTTACCATGTGTTGAAAATTTTTCAAAATATTATGTACATATTAGTATGTACTTTGGTGTGTTTTCAAAATAATAATGATATCTTTATAGAAAGTTGTAGACCAATGGGCCTTTGGTCCAATGGTACTCCTTGGTTTGTAAAGACTTTGTCTTCTTGAGGTCAAGGGTTCAAGTTTCCCTTCCCCTTCCCAAAAAAAAAAAAAAATAGAGAAAGTTGTGGAGAGCCTTTAAAGTGAATCTCATATTGAATCTCATATTGGAAAATGAGAAGAGAAGGAAAACATTTATTAATAGACACCTATGACATGATATTGCTTTAGTGCTAAAAATGCTAGTATGCATGACGGTGCGCACTAGGGTGGTGCAAAGCACTGTCTGTGCATGACATGGGCAGTGTGTTGGAGGACACTAAAGGCACATTGTGGTGTATTAGAAAAGCACTTGCCATGTACGCATTGTAGTGAGGAGCGATCACATCATGACCATTGATTTTTTTGATTATTTTCAATCGGACGGTTGATTTCACATATACATATGATCGAATGAAAGATATCAAGTCTGATAATTTGATCGTAACCAATGGTCAATTTAAATAACATCATGGAATGATTTGGCTTGTAGAACACTATATGGTGCAATCGAATGACCAAATTTAAGTATAAAAATATCTGTTAAAATGTGACTTTTAGTGACAGATATTTTAGAATATTTAAATATCTATTACTCATCAAACATGAATGAAACATTACCTCCTTAAATATCTATTATTCAACAAATTTCTGATATCTTGATTTACTAGAATAATTTGAAATTATCTTGGTTTTGATTTCGTTTGTGCATAATGCAGTCAAACACCAGATGAATCTTGGACCTCATTGTATCTGGAGGCAAATTTCCGGTAACCCAGTTCATTCTAATTTCAAAATTGGTGGGGGACAACATTGTCTTGGAAAATGATTTCATAACGGGAAGCATTCTACTGACTTCTTCTTTCATCATAGAAATATTGCATCAACACTATGTTAGCTAGCTGCCATAGTTCTAAGCTTCACATGCAAGATTGAGACGCACAAATTAAATGGCCCTGCATCAATCCATGATGTGAAATAGCATCTGCCTCGGGGGTCTATATCCACACGACTTTTGAGACACATTGCATAATGCTAAAAAATCACATTTATCATACACTTCACTTCACTTCACTTCACTTATACTTCACCAAGCGATGTGGGATGGTTCCAAGCTGCCTCACATATATATTTGAAGAACTAATTGGTGTTTTATTTCTTTTTTTTGTTTTAAAGGTTTGAGGTGTTAAGGCCGACTTACGTGCACACCAACTTATCCTTCCTAGGTCGCTAGAACTAGAATAATTCTCTCATGGCCCAGCCCTTAGGCCATTAAGAGTTGCCAAGATTTAAACTCAGGACCTCTAATTTACAGCTTGTTCCCGTTACCATTTGAACTAGGTTGGCGTGAACACATACAGTATGCCTTTGGACATCAATATGGTGAACCTTATGTCCGTGTTCAGTTTGTATATGATGATGTGCTCACACACATATTAGCTGGCTAGCTTCTAAACTTGCATATAAGTAGGTTTTTATTATTAAACTTATTGTTTTACCCCTAATTTTCTTTCTAATGTATGCTTTAGAACTGTAATAATAGGCCTAAATACAAAGAAGTACAAAACCCAATTACACAGTTATACACACACACACACAATCAATTGAGGATAGGAAATGAAGAAGGGTTTACCCAACTCTACCTTTGAGAACGCCGGGGATGAGAAGCAAGAAGAAGAAAGGCAAGAAGGAGACAAAGCTCCATAACTTTGCTAAAAATCCAACCGGAACCTCCATGGATTGGCCTCCCTCCTTTCCCTAAGGTAATATTCGGAATAAGCGGAGGGCAAAAGTGTAATCAAAACCCTCTTCGAAGAAAGGTAACATGAACTGAGATAGAGAGAGAGAGAGAGACAGCGGTGCTTCTCCTTTTTCTCTGTTCTCTGGGCATGAAGGAATTAAAAAGAACATTCGATCAAAAAAAATAAATAAATAAATAAAAAGAGCATAACCGTTGGAAGGCTACGTGGCAGAAAATGGCCACTATTGTGCCAAGTGTCAGTCAGGTGATGACTCCAGCGTGAGATTTCCCGCGAAAAGAGGGTAAGAGTCACCACACAACACACTGTTGTCACTTTCTCATCACACTCCTTTGGCGGGAACCAGACCCGACCATGGATGGTCACGACTTGTGTCCCGTTCCGTTCTTGTAACCGTTTACGCTAAATGATAATTCTAATAAAAATGAGTTATAAATTTAAAGAAATTAAATTTAAATTTTAATAATTTCTAGAGTTGGAAAATTTATCTATTATAAATATTTTAATCCTATATAATTTTGCTTTTGATCAAACTTGAGAGTAGTTTTAACAATCTTAAATAAAATTCGCAAAATTGGCACGAACCCAACACAAATTTAATGGGTTTGAGTAAAGTTTTAATGAGTTCGGATAGTTAACGAATTAATGCGATAGACTCATGAAATAAATGAATTAATTTTATATTTAACTTATAAAGTAGTTTTAACTCGATAACACCGATTAATTATTAAAAAAAAAATTAACCAAAAAAAAGGGTTAATTACAAAATGTCTCCTCCATGTTTAGGTCATGTTACAATCGACTCCTTCAGATTTTAAATTCGACAATTTGCCCTTTTCAAATTTAAATAATTTTTAATTAACTCTTACAGCTAGTTGACCACCGTTAAAAAAAACAGAAATTTATTAAAAAGCTCAAAATTACCCTCATCTTAATATTTTATGTAAAAATAAAAATAAAACCTCGTTTCCCCTTCGGTGAATCCACCTCCTTCCCCATCCGGTGAACTCACCTCTGGTGAAACCGAAACCCACCCCCACCCAAACAATCCACCTCCCTCCTCCTTCCCCTCCAGTGAACCCCATCTCCTTCCCCCTTCGATGAACCCAACTCCTTCACACAGACTCATACCACAAATTCACAGAAATCAATTTTCTGTAAGAATAAACTTGAAGATTTCCACTTACTTCACTGAACAAAATGGCAATTGAGACTTCTCTCTCTCTCTCTCTCTCATTTATATATATATATATTTTCTTCATCAAGAATGCTACATTTAGTAAAATATTACTAAAATCTTCAGTGGTTGGCTGTCAAAGATCTCATTGACAGTGATTCAATGACTTGCACTGCTCTAAAAGTCCACGAACTAAAGCTTGATCCATATTAGTTTTACTCTCTTCTCGTGTTTTTCCTCTCCATCAACTCTGAATTATACCCCATAAACCAATTTCAAACAACCTTGAAGTGTTTCAGTTACGTCCCTAAACAACAATGGTGGTCACACCTCCCTCCTCCTTCCCCTTCTGGTGAACCCACCTCCTTCCCCCTTCGATGAACCAACCTCCCTCCCCCTCCGGTGAACCCACCACCTCCTCAATGAAACCGAAACCCACCTCCCTCCCCCTCCGCTAAACCCAACTCCTTCCCATTCCAGTGAAACCGAAACCCACCACCACCCAAACAATCCACCTACCTCCCCCTCCGATGAACCTAAATCCTTCCCCCTTCAGTGAAGTTGAAACCCACCACCACCCAAACAATCCACCTCCCTCCCCCTCCAGTGAGCCCACGTCCCCAACGAAAATCAAAACCTACCTCCCCAGCGAAACCGAAACCCACCTCCCTCCCTTCCAGTGAAATCAAAACCCACCCCTACCCAAACAATTGAAATCCCTTCAGTGAAATCAAAACACTAATACACCGAAACACCGGTAAAACTGAAAACATCCATACACACCACCCTCAAACAACTACCCTTCCTTCCCTCCTCCGGTGAAACCGAAACCCACCCCTAGTAATAGTCCCCAAACAACCCCAATAAGAAATCTACTCTCTATTGGGCAACACCCATTTGGAGAGAGAGAGAGAGAGATAGAGGAGGGGTTGAGAGCTTCGTCGAAGCTGGTATGTGGGGGAAAGGAAGGGCCAGAGTTGGGAAGAAGATTGGGGGCACTGTTGGAGTTGGGATGGAGTTCATTACAAAGCAAAAATGGAAGAAAAAAAAAACTAATGTTGGGGTAATTTAGGAAGTTCACATTTTCAACTAACGATAAGAGTTAATTGAAAATTATTTAAATTTGAAGGGGACAAATTGTCGAATTTAAAATCTGAGGGAGTCGATTGCAACATGAGCTAAACATGGAGGGGGCATTTTATAATTAACCCAAAAAAAAAGTCTCCCAATTTCTGTCTCACCTAAAAAATGGTGATTTTTTTTCATATTTGTTGATGTGCACACACTTTTTAGTAGGGGTGTAACTTGGGCGGGCCAACCTAAATTCAACTTGAGCCCAACTAAAAAAAAAAAGGATTTGGATTAGGATTTTTAATACTTAGGTTGGGTTTAGGCAAAAAAATCTTAACTCGAATTAAATTTGGACAATCCTCGGGTTGAGGCCTCGGATTGTCGGGCTTAACTAGAATATTAAAATCAGGTTATACCTGATTATTAAGTGGGATTGACCCAAAATATACATAAATATATTTAACTAGAGTTAGTATTTATTTTCATTCTTTAGAGTGCAGACTTTCACTTCACTTCAACTCTTCACCCCTGCACCTCCATCACTCTCATATCCCACTCTCACTCGTCATTCTTCTCCTTCTTAACGTCCTTCTCTTTTCATCTACGCCGCCTTTCATCTCAGATCATTTGAAAAAATCAGATTTACACTTGAAAAATCAAATCTACACTTCAAAAAATTAACCAGAATTAAGTAATCCAAGTCAATCCAATTTTTAACTCGAAATCAATCCGAATTAAGTAATTCAAATTTAACCCGAGCTCGCCCAAATTAAGCTCGGGCAGTACTCAGGTTGAGTATCTTGGGTTGAGATAGAGTTAAGGTTAGGGTTAAAGTTGAAGATTATGTATCTAGGATTGGGCTAGGGTTGACCTCTCAACCTACCCAAGTTGCACCCCTATTTTTTAGCTTAGTCATAATTTATTGTTATAATAAACAGGTTAAACATATGTAATGTATGACGTGTTGATGATATTTTGTAGGGAAAATTGTGAAAAGGTACACTTTATCCTACTTATTTGTGTAAAAGTACTTCAATATAAAACATTTGTGTATAAGTACCTTTACGTGTAAATGTTTGGTGAAGAGATACACTTTTGCTGAGTTATAATTTTTTTTCTTACGAAATTGCCCTTTTCCTTTATTAGTGAGAGACAAATATGACAGCTATATTAGAGATTCAGTTTCCTAAATTTACGGAATATCATTTTTGAATTTTAAATTATATATTTCTCTTTCATTCAACTTAAGTTATTCAAATTTTCATTTTTATTCAAACATTCATGTCTTTTCCATATTTGTATAATTTTTTTTTTTAAAATCGTAATAATCAAGATGATAATTCTGATTCGGAGGATGATTTGCGGCCTCGCACGATCATGTTATAGTGTTACAAGACAATGTCACACTAGTACTAGAAAATGTCATACTGCTACAAATCAAATTCACACTGCTACAATGTTGTCCATATGTTTTTTTTTTTAAAAAAAAATCATTACGGTATCTTAATGTCAATAATGTTTATGTGAGGATAAATGTTAATGATGATGACTCAAATGGGGATGATCGTAATAATCAAGATGATGATTTTTGATTCGGAGGATGATTTGCTGCTTCGTACGATCATGTCACAGTGTTACAAACCAAATTTACACTGTTAGAAACCAATGTCACATTATTACAAAGTCAATGTCACACTGCATATATTGACATGACGCACATCACAATGTATATAGCCTCTTTGATTTTTTTTTTTTGACAAATGATCGAACACTTAGTGTGTATGTAGTACCAAACACTAGAAGTCGAAAGGTAATTGAGGGAAACAAAGTAAATAAAATAAAAACGTTACGAGAAACAACATTTTTCTTGAGTTATCAACTTCTTTTTCAAAAAATTCAATCACTTTCATCCTTTTTCATCCTTCTGCTATAGCCACTCCAATTCAGATCCTTATCTAAATTGTTCTCACCCAGATGGACTCTGTATTGAAACCACTTTGCCCTTTAATGTAACCAAGAGATGTTAATGAATCGGATTCCAATCCATATCCAAGATTGTGTGATTGAGTTGATTCTTTGTTACTAAAAAAATTTATAACCACTCCCATCCTTCTGCTACAAAGGTGAAGATTTGGATAGTGAAGTTTTGAAAAGATCCTTTCTTCAGCAACGATTAACAGAAAGTTTTGAACATCCAAAAGGAGGTTTCATGAAAGTTTTTGAAAGAATAGGGTTTCCGACAATATTGAAGGAATTTATGTGTAACTGTTGAGATCCCTTAAGTTTCAGTTGTAGAAGTAAAAATATAAGAATCAGTTCTCATTCTACTGAAGATGGTATTTTAGAGATTTGTTAGGGATTGTGTACTTTTTGACCTATATTTTTAAAAGTAGTACTTTTTGCCCTATAATTTCTAAAAAGGGTACCCACCCCCTTAAAACCCTATTTTGTATAGAGTTGAAAAATTTTAACCAATTCTCTTATTTATGTGATTAAATCCTAACCATTTAAAAGGTGATGAAAAATTCATCAATGATCCTGAGCCAGGGGCAGGTTGCTCAAATTGATTATGGATTGGGTCAGCCTAGGTTTAGAATGGGCCATGAGGCGCAAGTTACGTTATCTCAACCTACTCTTTACTTCAAAATTATGGGCCTACCCAAATGAGCTGGAACTGGCCCAGTGATGAGTTATTTTCCTCAGCTAGAAATGTCATTGCAGTGGCCATTTCCCTTGTCACACAGTCAGCCTCTAATGTGAAATTCCATGCTTTAATTTTTTCAATTAAGCTTGGTAATTCTATACACGATTTAGAAGTTTAATACAAAATTGAGACAAAATTAATAAATTTGCATCTATTTTTAACAGATTCGAATTATAAATTAATAAACTCATCAAATAAATGAATGAACTGGAATATAACAGACATGATTTCTTTGTGAACACATCTATCACGTCATGATCCTGATTTGACACAAAAATATATGCACATGTTTATAGATGAATCAGATATGAATTAGAATTAAGTAATTTTTTATATGACTTGATGTAGCCATGATATGAACCCACCACGACACCATATCACCCCTCGACAACTCTAATTGCAATGTCGAGATTTTTGACACCCGGCTAGGTCTCACATAAATTTCAGTTTGCGTCATGATGCCGGAGAATGAAAAATTGAGGTTTCGGTTCACTCACACGCACAAACTTAGAGAAGGAAAGAAATCTTGTGCGTCACGATGACGGATCCAACATTCCTACCAACTGCATTGTCAGGGCAACCAGCACTAGCTTATATTCACCTCTTATTATTATTTTTTTGGGTCAATCCTCAAGTGTGTTTGAGTCAATTTATGAATACTTTGACTAATCTTCTATCGGTCCGGTTAGAGGTAGATCATCTACGTTAAGATTAATGATGCCTTATGTCCTAATTCTAAAAGATTGTTAAGATTCATAATTCTAAAAGATTGTTAAGAGTCAATTTATGAATACATTCAAGATGTTTGGATTCATAATTCGTCTTTATTATCACTTGAATTATCCTTGAAATTGATTCATATTCACCTAGCTTGGTTTTGTAATTACAAAAATGAGACTAGATGAGTCGAAGTGGAGTTAGTTGAAGTTTGATTTGAAGTTTAAATGAACTTTATATAAAATTCAAGTTGGAGACGATTTGGAATGGGTGTCTGTCTGATTATTCTAAAGTAGCTAGAGTTTTTACGTTGTGTTTAGACTCTAAACTTGTTGAACTTGAGGTATAAAAATAAAAATAATGAGGTTCAAAATATGCTCAAACTTGGTTTATTTATCATATAAGTTAATTCCAAAACGAGGTAATCTTAGTTAGACCCGAATAATTTAGTTAATTATACGGTCTTAATTGGACCTGTTCCTTTTTCTCTTTTCCTCATTCCTCCTCTCAGCACACCTTGTACTTGCATTATATTTGGTTCCTCTCCAACCTTCAAATCTCCTTGAGTTTTTGTATAAATTTCACATACTATGCATTGATGGTGGGTTTATTTGTGCATATTGAATTTCACTTGAATTCACAATGAATGATTGTTTTAAACCAAATATGAAGGAAGTCAGAATTGGAGCGCAAAATCAATCTCTCATAAATTGGAAAAACATCGCCTATCGTTTATCCTTTTTAAAATTTGTAATATACGAGTCTTGTGTATTGAATATGAGTTGAAGGTGATACTATTTCTCTATGTATATGCACGTGGATTTGAGAACTTTTATTTGATTCTCTAATAACAAGAGTGAAAGAAACAATAAAGAATCGAAAGGGCATGAGCCAAAAGTGGTTAGTAATTGTTACAGAATTACGAAGCCTTCATTTTTAAGGAAGCTTTCCACCAGTGACACCCATATAAAGTCTGTGGGTTCAAACCCTTTTGACCATTTTCGATACACATGCATCAAGAATAATACTGGTGTGGGCAAAGAATAGCTTGCAGTGAAGGAATGAATCAAACAAACAATAATCAATCACCATCTAATCAGTACCATATTCTTTCTTCATAGCAACAAGAGAGAGGTTTTGGGAGAGGTCAGTTGGGTAGTAGTGCAAAGATGTGGCATTCAAGGAAATAGCATTTAGCTTCATATTTTTCGTGGTCGGGCCGAATTTCAATTTTCTTATTGTTAACTCCTTTGGTTCTGATCTCAGTGATTGCTTTTGCACTGGGTCTGGATAGATCTCTAATTTCTTTGTCTTCTCCATTGACATGGAGGCCAGTTGGTTTTTTGGGATCTTATTCACCGGTTACTCTCAATGAAGAGAACAATGAAGGGAAGAATGGTCATTATGAAGAGGTAGCTGAAGAGGCCAAAGCTCCATTAGGTTCTTCCTTTCTGAATGACTCATTCCAACATACACTATTGGCCAAAAATGCAATAGTAAGAACCATATTCTCCTTTGTTTATTATAGGATAAATTACACTTTTACCCCTAAACTATTGTCCTTATGATTTGTGTACGATGAACAATCAAAGATACAGAAAAATAAAAGATAAGCATAATAATTTTAAGTGGGTTGGCAACTTGCCTACGTCCACGAGAGAACGACTACCTTGTTTTTATTCCACACCAAAACAGGATTACAACTTAATATATATAGGTTACAGTCCTAATTATGAGAAATCCCAAAGGCACCTCTTCATATATTGAATATGCACCACCCATTCTAACAGTCCCCTGTCTCATATATCTTTGATTACAATTATTATTTTTTTCATATTATATTGTCGACTATAATTTTTAATGGGTTAATCTCATTCTGAACCCTAAAGATTGTTCAAATCTCAATTTGTATCCCCAAAGATCAAAAATCTCAATTTATACCCTCAAAGATAGAAATTTGTATCAATGTGCCTCCGCAAAGATAAAAAATCTCAATTTGTACCCTCAAAAATAGAAATTTGTATTAATGTGCACCTAAAATTAAATTGATAAATTATACCTAGATCCCCTCATGTTTGTCACTTAATCATTTTAACTCCTTCACATTTAGAATATTTCCCTTACATCTCATGACGTTTGTGCATGTGTAACACATAACCACTTTTCGTTGATATCTGTTAATATAATCATTAAAAAATATGATTTTATCCTGATAAAAAATTATAATTTCATATTACCTTTTATTTTGTGGATTCGATATACTTTAAAGTTAAAAATCAAGCTTACCATTTGAATGTCTAATAAAATGTAGATATTTATATAAAAGGTAATATGAAAAATATTATATAAATATTTATATTTTATTAGACATTCAAATGATAAACTAGATTTTGAACTTTAGAATATATTAAACCCATAAAATAAAGAGTAATATGAAATTATAACTTTTTATTAGGATAAAATTATATTTTTTAACGGTTATATTAATAGATATCAATGAAAATGGGTTACGTGTTATACGTGCACATATGTCATAAGATGTAAGAGTAATATTCTAAATATGAAAAGGTCTAAATGATTAAATGACAAGTATGAGGGGATCTAGGTATAATTTATCAATTTAGTTTTTAGGTGCACATTGATACAAATTTTTATTTTTGAGGATGCAAATTGAGATTTTTTATCTTTGGGGTGCACATTGATATAAATTTCTATCTTTGAGGGTGTAAATTAAAATTTTTGATCTTTGGGGGTGCACATTGATACAAATTTCTATCTTTGAGGGTGTAAATTGAGATTTTTGATCTTTGGGGGTGCAAATTGAGATTCGAACAATCTTTTGGGGTGCAAAATGAGATTAACCCATTTTTAATTTTATATTGGCCTCATTGTTGATATTGACAACATGTTTTTTCACCACACATTTGGACATTTTTCTTTCAAAAAATCTTTTAAGTTTTGCTTTGTGGCATAATAAAAACAATTTTAGTAGTGGATGGGGAAATGCGAGAAATTCAATAGCTAAGGGGACTAAATAAGATGAAAGGCATAGCAAAGGGGGTTAAAGTGTCATTTTCCTTCTTCTTTCAATACAAGTTTTTGCATGCTGAGGATGATGTTTTTTTTTCTTTTACTGGTGTAATAGGAAAGGCCAAAAGAGAGATGGATAACTGAAAATAGGACTCAAAGCTCTGCCAATACCAGATAAGGAGTTCTCAAGAGACACAACAAGTTGGAGAGGCTAGAAGCCACCATGGCCAGAGCGAGGTTTTCCATTAAAGAAGCTGCTCAAAATGGGAGCATGGTATCAACTCAGGAAGATCCTGACTATGTTCGTCAAGGCCCCATCTACAGAAATGCAAACGCCTTTCACCGATATACCAATTCAATCCAACAACTCTCTTCAATTTACATGATTTTCTGTAACGCTCTGAATTCACATTGTACAATATTATTCGCCTTGGATTGGACGTGTAGGACTTGAAAACGACTCATACAATGACAGTCTTACTTTATGTATCACTTTACATCACACTTCACCCTAATCTCTTGCTTAGGCCCAAACATCATTTTTTGGGAGCCATCCTGACCTAGGTGAAGACAGTTAAGGTATTCCCCTATCCTTCTCTAGGGGATTCATTAGAGGACCTATATTTTTTCTTGATTGGCCATTGATCAGACTATCACCTCTTTTTTGTTGAGATCTTCTTATACATGCAACTTGTTTAGGTCAAAGAAGAGAGAGGATGGAATTAGGAATTTTCACCTTTGCATTTCTTATATGAAAGAGAAAACCACTAGGCGCCTCTTCTTTGAACCTCATGTGGCGTTCGGAAACATTATTCCCACCACGTAAGCTGCCACTATCCCAAGTCACCGTTTCGTTGCCTGGAGTGCGCACTAAGGGAGTGGCCTCCATAGTACCAAGGTCAATGGCTCTGGCCAATTGTAACACCCCAAATCCGCATTGTATAACATTATCCTCTTTGGACTAGGCCGACATTGTTTTAAAACATGTTGCACAATAGTGGACTAAAGTTTATTATTTATCATTCCACAATACATTTCACGAGATGATACCAGTTCCACCGTCACGACAGTTGATACACATTCTAATTTTATGTATAAATTGTACCACATGTATAGGAGCTATCTAGAAATGGAGAAACTGATCAATATATATGTGTATGAAAAAGGAGAGCCCCCAATGTTCCACAATGGTCCATGCAGGAGTATATATTCCACAGAGGGAGGGTTCATTAATGAAATGGAGAAGGGAAATTTCTATAGAACAAAAGACCCTGACCAGGCCTTAGTATATATTCTGCCATTTAGTGTGGTCATGATGGTTCAATACATCTATGTGCCTGGTGACCACGACATTCATCCTATTGGCCACACTGTTGCTGATTATATAGACATCATCTCCAAAAATCATCCCTTCTGGAATCGAACCCTAGGTGCTGATCATTTTATGCTTTCTTGCCATGATTGGGTAAGGATTTACCACTACTATATATATTTTTAGATCCATACTCTGTCTCATTTTGATTCTTGTTTTTTAGCTCTGTTGATTTAGATTGAAAATTTTTGAATTTAGTGTTTAAATTGTCCAATCGATGGTTGAGGTTTAAATTGGCGGCCAAGAATTTAAAAGTGGCATTTGTCTAAATATATTTTTGAATTAACTGTCTATTTGGTCCCTGAACTATACTATTTGTATTAATCGAGTCCCTCAACTATATTTTGTGTCAATTTAACCCTTAAACTATGTCATTTGTGTCAATGTGACCCTTCCGTCCAAATTTGTAGTTAACTTTGACGAACTTTCTCACATGTGGATCACGTGATTCGGGGATTAGAGTATAATTTTAGGGGTCACGTGTTGTGCAAGTGAGGAATTTTGTCAAACTTAACAACGAATTTGGACAGAAAGACCATATTGACACAAATGTTATAGTTCAGGGGCTAAATTGATACAAAACATAGTTTAGGAGCTTAATTAACACAAATGGTATAATTTAGATGCTAAATAGATAGTTAACTTTACATTTTTTATCCTGAAAATGTTTGAGAAATGCCATTTTCATCCCTCAGTTACGTATTTTATCAATTGTAAACTAAAGTTTTCAATTCAAGTTTGGATAATTCAAATCGATGACGAGTGTTCAAATGCGATGCAAAGTGAACTATTACATACAGTTTAGCGATTATTATTATATTTTTTGCTATATATTTTGAAAGCTTGCGGATGATTATAAATTTTTTTTAAGCCCAAAACAAGCCGAACTATTTACACTAATTTTTTAAATGAGTCTAACATGAGCTAAGTTTGAGTCAAGTCTTATCCGAGGTGAGCTCAAGTAGTTCGACTCAATTATCAGCCCTACTCTTAAATTGACTGAAGATTAATAGGAATGGGTTGTTCATTTATTTCAGGGGCCATAGTCAACTTCCTATGTTCCCAATTTGTTCAACAATTCCATCAGAGTTTTATGCAATGCCAATTCCTCAGAAGGCTTCAATCCTTTGAAAGATGTTTCATTACCCGAAATTCATCTCAAAACAAGGGAAATCACAGGACTTATTGGTGGTCCATTGCCTTCCGGACGATCAATTCTAGCCTTTTTGTTGGCCGTTTGCATGATCACATAAGGTACCTTCTCCTAAAACAGTGGAAAGGAAAAGACCAAGACGTTCAAGTTTTCGAGAGTCTTCTAGATGGGTTATCATACAATTCAATGCTGAAGAAGAGTAGATTTTGTTTATGCCCTAGTGGGTATGAAGTTGCGAGCCCTCGGGTTGTCGAGGCAATCTATGCAGAGTGCATTCCTGTTCTAATTTCAGATGGCTATGTTCCACCTTTCAGTGATGTTCTTAATTGGAAGGCATTTTCTATTGTTGTTCCTGTTAAGGACATACACAATATCAAGAAGATACTAATGAGTATATCACAGACTTAGTACGTGAGAATGCATAGGAGAGTGAAGCAAGTGCAAAGGCATTTTGTGATAAATGGACCTCCTAAAAGATTTGATCTTTTTCATATGATTGTTCACTCCATTTGGCTTAGAAGATTGAATATTTGGATTCATGATTGATTACATTCATTCTATTTTGAAATATGACCGTCATCTATACTTATTCCAATTGTACAAAAATTATAGAATCTGTTGGATCTTATCATACCTCTAATACTGATAATGATTACAAAGATTTCAATTTTTTGTTTTCTTTTTTTCCTTCAATTGAATGATTGATGGATATATTAGTCCTTCCCAAAAGGGTAAGCAGGATCCCATCAACTTTTTTCAGTAGAACTCACTCATTCAAGGGATGATATACATTTGAGTTATATTTTTTTAAATTTTATTTGAATTGTGTAGTATTTTTCATGGATTGTCACTAGTTTGCCATGCGCGTAAGGTAAATTCTTGAGAGAGAGAGAGAGTTGAAAAAGAGGGATTTCGATCGCATCAGATACACTTTTTCCCTCATTGGTTTTAAGTGTAGATCATCCACTGTGAATTTAAAATAAGACGCACACACATGCACACACATACTGTAGTTTCATCTACAGTGGGCAATCGAATGTTGTTGTGAACAAAACCCATCACAAAATTCCTCTTGGCATGAGAGCTTTCTCCCTTGGTTAGGGTTTTTCTGAAATTTTATTCTCATTTTTCTTTTCCCGAGGCGGATCTCTTCGTCTTCTCAGCACTATTCACTCCATTTTTATGCTTTCAATTTACCTAACCTCTGTTTACTTCTTCTAGATTGGAACAGTCCACATTCTTCCCTTCTACGCTTTGTCTGTATGTATCACTCCCCCAAGGTCTCCCCAGGTCTTTCTCTCTCGACATTTTGTTTTCCCGAAGCGGAAGTTCCCATCGGTAAGTGTTTTGTGATGAATATACCTTATCGTCTTTCTATCTTCTTCCCCCTTCTTTGCTGCTCCATCTCTTTACCATTACTGCATTATCCTACCACCACAGTGTTCCTCAATTGCATCTCCTCCTTGCCTTTGTCCATTTTTTGCCATTATTAAGCTACCTTCTTTTGTCTTACCCTTGTTATAGACGCAAAAATCCTAAACCCCCAAAATACCAAACCCTCAATCCCCTTCCTGCACTCCCTCTCACCCTATTTCTTTCTCTGTTCTTTCTATTTCTTCACTTCTCCTGTAGCTTTTACTATTTATTCCTACATATGGAGAAAGACCTAGAAGTTGATTCTCATCCGTCCCATCACCCACGAATCTCTCTCTACTCTGATCCCTCCACCTCAAAGATGATAGGAAAATACTGCCTAGTGGGCCGGTTTTTCACAGATTCTACCCTAAATAAGCAAGGGGTTTGTACTGTGCTGTAGAGTTCTTGGAAGACATCCAAAGGTTTTTCCATCATCTATTGGGAAAGAAATACCTACAAGTTTATGTTCAAAGATGAGGATGATAGAGACAAGATTTTAAATGAAGGTCCATGGTCCATTTCAGGAGCATTGCTGGTTCTGAAGGTGTATCAACCACAGTTTATCATTGGAGATTTCGATTTCCACTTAGCCGAATTCTAAGTTCAGATTTGGGGCTTACCCCTCGATATGATGGCAAAAAATAATGCTTGGAGAGGGGGAATGATTATTGGTGAGCCTACCCAACTCGAGAAATTTGAGGGGGAAGTTCAAATCCAGTAAAGCTTTCTGAGGGCGAAGTGTAGGATCAACTTGAATGAACCTTTGAAAAAGGGTTTTTTCTTGACTCGGGACAATCAAGATGATATCTGGATTAGTCTAAAATTTGAGAGATTGTCTTATTTTTGTTACCAATGTGGTTGGGTTGGCCATTCTCAAAGTCATTGTAAGGACAGGAGGGCGTCTAGGGCCAATAGTTACTTTGGGCCGGAGCTACGAGCGCAATCCACTCAATCGGGGGGCTTCTTCAGAGAAACTTAGTCCCTAAGAGAATGCGAGACATCGAAGAAGAAGGATAAGCTCAAAGGTAAAATGTAGGAAACTGATGGAGATGTTGAACCAAGAAAGCAGAGGGGTTAGGAAGGGAGCAGGAAAGTTAGTGGAGAATCATCTGAGACACCTATCAATGGGGAGGACGATGTGTTGAGATCCCATGTCAGAAACGAGGTTAATATCAGTCTGAAACAGAAAAAAATGGATCACAGAGCCATACATCACCCCTCCCAATGGTACCTTATGCTGGTGGGGACCAAGATTGGGATCTGTCCTTATCCCTATCTTTGTCTTTTTTTCAAGTAGACCCAAATACACTTGTAACAACCAAGAGGGGATCCTACTATGTTTATGAGCCCACAAAGAGTCCAGAAGCCCAAAAGGTTAATGAAAAAGTGGTCTACATAATCACTGATAGTGAGGAGGAGGATAGGGGTGTTGATATGGAGACCCATTTCCAAAGTATGTCGTTTAAGAGGAAAGTCCAGCTGGATGATAAGACTATGGAAGCCCACCCAATACCATGGAAAAAACTTAAAGTATTTTCGGACAGTGGTCCAAGTGCACCTCACATCTCGCTACCTTTTTTCGGCCCCCCACTTGCTATTGATATGTCCCTTGTTAACTTTGGAAGGAAGCATGCTTTAAGAAAACGGGCTATGAGAAGCAAGCCTAAGAAGAAGGTGAGTAGAGAAAGCCTGATGTACTCTGAAGCACAATTTGCCTATCTTGAGAATAAAAAGGAACAAATGTAACATGATTTGGATGAGGACTATAATGGTCTCACTGAAGGGAAAGGTGAGAATAACCTTGATAGATGTATATCTTTGTGGATTGCTCAACCCTCTAGGAAAACATCTGATGAGGGTGATGAATCTAGTCGTGCTGATAAGGTGGCGGTGGCTGACCTCAAGCAGCCACACGATTCATGTTGATGCTTACCTGGAACTGTCAAGGAGTAGGGCGACCCTGGATAATCCGTAATCTTAGAGGGCTTATCACTACCCATCGCCTCTCAATCGTCTTTCTTATGGAGACTAAAAATAAGTTTGATAAGTTGGAGTGGTTGAGAAGAAATTTAAATTTTCCACGTTTTGAGTATGTGGATCATGTGGGCCTTTCTAGCGGACTTGCTTTATGGTGGAAGGAGGAAACCAACCTGCTGGTTCTGGATAAATCCAAAAATCTGATCAACGTAAGAGATAGACTTAATCATCAGCAGGATTTTTGGCACTGCACCTTTGTCTATACAGACCTGTTGGCTGAAAGAAGGAAGAAGATATGGGAGCGGTTGACCGATATGACAAGGTCCATCGATTTGCCCTGGTTAGTTGCAGGGGATTTCAATAACATTGGATCACTGGATGATAAAGAGGGGGCGCTATTAGTAGCATAAGGAGAGTAGAGGAATTGCAATAGTTGATTTCAGACTACTGCCTCATTGAGATGTGTTTTAGTGGACCCAAATTTACATGGTCAAACAACAGGCCAGGTGCAGCCAATGTTCAAGAACGGATTGATAGAGTAATGGTTAATTTAGACTGGAGTGCCCTCTTCCCCTTAACTGCGGTGCTGCATGAAACTAGGATGGGGTCTGACCACTGTCCCATTGTGATTAATCTTGGCTTAAATGCTAAAAAGGCCCCCCATTCCTTTAAATTTGAAAGTATGTGGATGCAGGACCCTGAGTGTGAAGAAGTGATTAAAAGTAACTAGATTGTGAGAGATTCAACCTCTATGTTCTGTAATACCATCAGCAATCTTAAGTCGTGCAGAAACCATCTTTTGGAGTGGAGCAGACAAAAGTTTGGTAATAATAAGAGCTTGATTCAATGCTTAACAACGAACTGCTCTGTATTCAAATGCTGGAGCCTTTAAAGGAAAATCTTATTGAGGAAGCATATCTTTGTGCCCAGATTGATGGAGTAAGATGCAAAGAATAGAAGTACTGGTAGCAACGTTCAAAGGTCAATTGGTCGAAAGATGGGGATCAAAACACCAGCTTTTCCACTTGTCTACCATTCAAAGAAGAAATTACAATCAGATTGTCAGGCTCAAGACTGACGAAGCGGCATGGATTGAGGAGGGGGAGGAGATCAACTCCCATATCACTAATTATTTCCAGAACCTATTTAGATCAATGGGGGAAAGAGACTGGTCTGAGGCACTAGGAGTTGTACATGTTAAAGTCACAGAGGAAATGAACAGTGCTTTGCTTAAGGTTATTCATGATCTGGAAGTGCATAAAGCTGCAATGGAGCTAGGTGCCTTGAAAGCCCTTGACCCATATGGTTTCCTAGGCATCTTCTTCCAAAAATTCTGGCATATGGTGGGAATGATATTATTAAAATGGTTAAAGACTTTTTCGAAGGAGGTCAACTGAACAGGGATATTAATTTTACAAATGTTGTCCTTATCCCAAAAGAAGCTACTCCTGAAACCATTAAACAGTTCAGACCAATTGCACTATGTAACTTTCTGTACAAGGTGATATCAAAAGTTATGGCCAATAGTTTTAAAGGAATGTTGTGTTCCATCATTTTCCCAAACCAAGCTGCCTTTGTCCCAAACAAACAAATCCAGGATAGTATTGAAATTGCCAACGAAGTGTTCCACCACCTGAAAGGAAAGAAAAAAGGGGAAGTGCCTAAAATAGCCATTAAAATAGGCATAAGTAAGGCTTATGACAGGGTTGAATGGGATTTCTTGGAAGCAACAATGTTAAAGCTGGGCTTTACTCGAAGCTGAGTTAGCCTCATTATGCAATGCATCAGTACTGTCACCCTACAATTTGTGCTTAATGGAAAGAAAATCGGTATAGTTATGCCCCAGAGGGGAATCAGGCAGGGGGATCCCCTCTCCCCTTATCTTTTTCTCTTAGTTGCTGACGTTCTCTTAGCGATGCTTTGGAAAGGGGTTAACGATAGAAAACTAGTGGGAATCAAGATCAAAAGAAGGAGTTCAATGATCTCACACCTCTTCTTTGCTAATGACTCCTTGT